TTTTTTTTTTTTTTTTTTTTAGAGCAGTGTAGTAGTTTCAGTTAAGTGCTACTTCTGAGCCCTGTATGATAATCCTACTATTGTAATTTTACCGCATCTCGCATCTCGTGTTAGTTTTCGTAAATTTTCTCTAAAAACTACATAGCAATGCTATTGCGTAGAGCTATTATTCGAACAGAGTTGTTCACGAATACAATGTGGTTTGCCTCGTGACAGTTGATAGTTTACTCAACGATCCAGTTTGGCTCGTGACAGTCGATAGTTTACTCAACGATCCGAGCTCGGATAACTGAACCTCAACTGATCTCTCGAAAATTGCTAATACAACCCCAACATATTCGCAATAGAACTTTCCCATCCCAAAAACTTCCATATTTTCTAATACAACCCCGACATATTCACAATAAAACTTTCCCATCCCAAAAACTTCCATTTATTCCACAAATACCCGCGACTCGAAGAACACAAGCACCCGAATCCAAAGACAAATAACTACACCAAAACCCACCCAAAAGAAGCAGCAAAAAGTCTCAAACCGAACCACTGCAAACATCACAAAACACCTCCTCAATCTCCTTCCCTTCGCCAAACGACCCTTTACCCAAAACCCAATCCTCGATCATAACCCGTGAGTTAACAGGCTGATCGGTTGGGACAAGATGGCCAGCATTCACCACCACAGCATGGCTCAAATTCTCCCATCTCTGCACATAACCGGCTAACTTCTCATCCACCCTCCAAACCTTCCTATCCGCCTCGAGAAACTCACGAATCCCATCCCACCTCATTTTTTTCACCCAAGCCAAAGTCGAGACCACACCATCCCTCAAGTCACACTGCCCTTGGTACAACAAAACCCTCATGTTCTTCACAAGGAATTCCACCATATACTTCACGCTCTTCATCACGTCCTCTTTCAACGCCTTCTCCACCAAGTCGCTGCATACCTCAAACACTAAGGACTCGTTCACTCCCAACGCCTTTTTGATGTCGACATTGTTTAAAAACTTCGCCACCACATCGTCTTGGTAAGGTATCAGCCTCCTGAAATCATATAAAGTTGCCAAGCCGGTCATATTCTGCAATGTTTTCAAAACCCGGCTTCTTGCATCCGTGGCCTCCCCCCATTTTCCGCTTTTCACGAACCCAATTGTCTCGAATTGGATTCTCTCCAAAAAGGCCTTCTGCTTATCGTTTATCAAGCCCAAATTGTAGGCATTCTCTGCGTGAGTCCCGACTTGGGTAGCCGGGTGGGTCAATCCATTCCCAATGGCCAAACCAGCTAAATTCACCCTCTCTTCGGCCGGCAAGAATGGGTTTTTCTTCAAAATGTAGTATCCGAGTCCCGGGACGTATTTTCCGGCGTAGCTTTCGCCAGTTATGTACAAAGGTCGAGTCTTGAATGATGAATCTAAGGAGATGAACTTCTTGATTGCTGTAAACAGATGTTTGGCCACGTCATGCTGGTTTCTGGGTATTTCTTGAAATGAAGGGGCTATGCTAAATCCAGAGCCGATTGGGTTATCGAGAAAGAGCAAGCCGAATTTTGTGTTCCAAGAACCTGGATTGGGGTCGAGCGTGAGGGTTTCTGGGTTCATCAACCACGGGCCGAGCTCGTAGAAGTTGGCCAGCATGGATGAGCAGCCCGGCCCGCCTTGAAGCCAGATGAGGATTGCGGTTTGAGGGTTGTGAGGATTTTGTGCTTCGTAGTAAGTGTAGAAAATGGCGGAGCCGGTGGTGGAGTTGACTGTTAAGTAGCCGGATTTGGTGGGGAGGGCTTCTTTGGGGAAGTGGGCGGCGGATCCGGCTGCGGGGTGGCGGAGGGCGGCGGCGGCGGCGATGAGGAGGAAGTTGAAAAAGAGTTGTGGTGGCAGTAGTGGTGATTTCTTCATTTTTTCAGTGTAAATTTTTGCAGTTTTGTGTTTGTGTGGTGTTGTGGAGTGATCAGTGGAGAATTTTATTTTGGTAACTTCACATAAAGCTGGCGTTTTCTATATTTTCTATCTCTTTTCCTTGACTTTTTAATATTGATAATATTTGAAA